GAGTGACCTGGCTGTCCACCTTCCCCACTCCTCTCCAAAGAAAATACTCCTTGGGAAAGGAGACATGAAGAAAGCATTTTAGTTGGAAGAGTGTCCAGCAAGGAGAGCAGACAGCAGAGGACCAGACTCATGGGCTCTGCCAGCTCCTTCCTACAAGAGTGAAGGCAGAGAGATGAACCCTTCTGATGGGTGACACCTGCCACTTGGGAGCCCATGATGCTCATGTGTCAAGAGAGTCATGTGAGGGCTCCTAATGAAGAACAAATCTCTCCCTACCTTGGAGGCGACCACTCCTGTGAAGCACTGGCTCTCTTTATTCCGTAAATCACCTTTTTAAGGTGTCACATGTCCACTGTCATATGTCCATAAAACCACTGCCACAGTGGAAGAGGAGTTCTTTTACTTCAGCAAATAATCTCACTTATCACTCTTGAGAGCCTGGTTGGAAATCCACAGTTACTTAGTTATAAGGATGACCAACAGGAAACGAAACAGCTCCCATCATAAAGTGGCTGGACAAAGAATTACAAATCTTGGCTACAATCCCAGAGAGGTAATTAAGATGCAGAGCACACTCTGGGATACCCTGGGTTTTCTAAGCAAAAGAAATATTTGGGAAGAAAAAAATACCAGTAAAGAGTGCTGTGTTACCACACTGCTCGATCCCACCTTCCCCATTCTTAGTTCACAGGCACATTTTTTTTTAATCTTAAGAATTAATCCTATGAAGTAAGAGGAAATGAGTGTTGTTCTCAGTATGGGCCAGTAATAAGAAAAACAGGCTTCAGAGTTAGACAGTTGGCATTTAAATCTCAACTCACCTACTTACTGGCTGCATGCACTGGGTAAATTATTTCAAATTTGTACCTCAGTTTCCTCATCTACAAAGTAATCACCTCACTATCTCAGGGGCACATGGTAGTGATTCACTGAGACTGGTAAATCCATCTGTGCAGAAACGGTCAGTGAATTACGGTGCTGCTGAATAAAGGGACCAGACAGAACTCAGGACCTAGGCCAGAACTTCCCCATCCCATGTCAATCTAATCTTCATTTTAGAATGAAGCTTAAATATTTCTATAGTGATACAACTGAAGCTATTTCTTTAAAAAAAAAAAAAATCACAGTTTCTGCCACAATACACGCACCATTCTAGAAGGGAACAAAACATGGAACAGAACTCAAATTCTTAACAATTCCAGACTTACTGGACCAGCTGAGAGTAGAGGACTCCCTGAGGCTATCACCCTGAGATGCTCTTTAAACCCTAAACTGAATCCACCCCAAGGTCACCTTTCAGCAAAATGACAGTGGCACACAAAACAAAGACAGTCCCTGCAAGTATGCTGGTCTACTGAAAAAACACCTATATGAGACAGAAAGGTCGGCATTTACTCTAAGATAAGGATGAGAGGATTATGGGGGGAATGGAAACAGAACAACCAGAACACAATTAAGGACAATGCTGACACACTTTGAAAAATATGCCTAATGTCACTGAGCAATTCACAGGAAAAGTGTCAAACTGGAACCTAAGTGACTATGTAAACTTTCACCAAAAACAAAATGGAATATTATTTTTTAAAAAAAGTTTTCTAAGCTTTGGGGGCAGTGAGTTTATGTTACTGGGGGAGGAACAATTTGGAAAAGGAGGGTGAGGATGGTTGCATGACTTGAAGTTTGTAATCTCTGTCACTGAATCGTACATTGAGTAACTGTTGAATTGGTGTATGTTCTGCCGTGTATATATTCAACAGCAACGAAATAAAATATACTATTCTAAAAAATCGTTTCTGCCGAACACTGTGGCTCTGTGTCATATAAAGCTGATCAGTAATTTGGCTCAAGTATAGTAAGTAACAAGGTCACAGTCTGAAACTTTCAGAGGTAAACAGTCTTCTAGACTCTAGGAGATTACAGAACAGCAATAAAGCTCAAGGAGCCCCGCTGGGGCAGTGGTTAAGCGCTTGGCCTCTACCTGGAAGGTTGCTGGTTTGAATTCACCAGCCATTCTGCAGGAGAAAAATGTAGCAGTCTGTGTCTGCAAAGATTACAGCCTTGGAAACCCTATGAGGCAATTATACTGTGTCCTATAGGGTCTCTAAGAGTCAGAAGTGACTCCAGGGCAACATGTTTGGTTTTGGTAATAAATCTCAATCAATTAACCAAAGTCTTCTTTAGACTGCAGTTGTTTCTAAGTGATTTTAAATGGATGATGTCCCTATTTTGAGAGCTATAAAGGGAAGAACTACCCGTAACCTCTCTTGGTGCCTATGTCCTCTTTAACATTCCCTCTAAGCAAAGCCTATCACGTTTTAGTTCCCATCCACCTGGTCTCTCTTGTGAGCAGATACCAAGAGCACTGTATGCCATCCCCTTTTTCAGGAGAAGTCACTTCCTTAGCTGTCCTTGTGGGTGCTATTTTCTAACATCCTTGAGAGTCACAGGTCTTCAACTTTTGGTCACAATACCTTTTCTAAAGGAAGCAAATTCAAAACTGATCTACAAAGCAAGCAGAGCTGCTGGGACAGCAAGGAGCCCTGGAGATCTGAGTCCAGGGGATCCTGACGCTTGCCCCAAAACCCTCCCAGTTCTATCTCAGTAGCAAGAAAAGACAGTGTGATCATCAGCCAAGCCAAGGACCAACATCAAACGAGTGGCTGACGTGTCCCTTCTGCTTCTGGAATCCAGGCTTGGTACACGGGTTCCCACTCTCCACCACGGTCAGTGAAGTGAGACAACGTGAGATGGGAAGAGACTAGCACTTAGCCAAGGTCCTTGTCTTGGTAACCCTTACCACACACTGCTGCTAGAGCTATAGAAGGTGTGAGATGCTCTAGTTTGTGCCAAGAAAAGTAAAATTTTTTAAAAAAAGGAACCTAGCTTGGTCAAAGGATCTGTATTTTTCACCAACTCCAAATTTCACATGGCCTGATCAAAGGAGAGTGCAGTGACTGGAATTAAGTCAGCACCTGTTAATTAATTCTTTTCCTGACCAAATCAGAAGATGGCAGCTATCTCTTGGCACCTGCCAGCAGAGTCATGCTGAACAAATTACTATCTTCTCTGTGTTTCCATTTCCTCCTTTATAAATGGAGATAACAGTGCCCTCTCACTGACTTACTGTAAGGATTGAGACACTAAAACTCACTGCCATTGAGTCGGTTCTGACTCACAGTGACTCCATTGGGTCTCCAAGGCTGAAAATCTTTATGGAAGCAGACTGCCCCATCTTTCTTCCAAGGAGCAGCTGATAGGTTTGAACCACTGGCCTTATGGCTAGCAGCCAAATGCCTTAACCACTAAGCCACCTGTTTTGGTTACCTAGTGCCGCTCTGACAGGAATATACCACAAATGGGATGGCTTTAACAAACAGGAGTTTATTCTTTTCCAATTTTGAAGGCTCTAAGTCCGAGTTCAAAGTGCCAGGCTCCAGGGGCTGGGTGAAAGCCCCTCAACCTTGGGCTTCAGCTCTGCCTCTTACTCCCAGCCCACTGAAGCTAGAGGAATTTCTTCACTCAGCTGCTGGCTGCTGAGGCTGACAAGGCCAAGGTTGACAAGTAAAACGGCACAGTCCCAATGCTACCAGACCACATGGCAGGCTGTTAATTCAAGTCCATCAAAAGTCCCAAGATTGGCAGAGCATGGCCGGCTGCTGAACAATGACCCAGCTACATGCAGGGTTCAAGCATGCCATAAGCTAGAGACCATTTCCAAAGCTGTTTCTTATATACGGAAAGCAGACCACATACCCAAAGCAGCTATTCACTGGCTCTAACAGATTCCACCATGGAGTTAATTACCAATCTCACCATGGGGAATAACTACATTCAGCTGCCCAGCCACTCAACCAGGCCTAGCCAAGTTGACACACAAACTTAACTACCAAACCACCACAGCTCCTTAAGTGACAGAGTAGCTATCATTTATTTGTGCCTATCACACAGTAAGAGTCAATAAACGTCAGCTATCATCACTAAGCGCACCATAATCACCTTGGAAGACTGGAGAAAATGTGGCATTTCTTTCAAGAAATAAGAAAAGAATGGAAACCACAGTGAAGATTGTAAAAGTCTGAAATTAATGGTGGAAAAAGTGTTTTCACCACCAACTGCACCACGCCAATGGGCACTCCGTGCAACCTCCCCAACGGACTCCATCCAGAGTGGAACAATGTTTGCGAAGTGTATTTGGGAGAAGATGCCTTTCCACTGGAGTACAAAGCAAGAATTAACGACAGCAAAGTTCTCTGTCAACACTGTAATTTGGAGCAGCTGCGGGTGGCGGTGGCCGCGGCCACTGCTGCCGCAAGGTCAGGTGTAACTTTCTAACACTAGATTCAGCTGCTGGAGTACAACAGCCTTCTTTAAAATCAGTGTGTTTCGATGTTTGGTAAGCTACACCTTGGCCTTACACCCAGAAGGAAGTGGGCCGTGGCTTGATTTTATTCCAGTTGTAACACCTGTTCCCCCTGCCAGTGCACATGTGGGTCCTCATGCACACAGCTCCGTAAGAAAAGGCTTAAAACATTTTTTTTAATCTTAAAGAAAAGCAGAGTTCTAGTTAAAACCAGCTGCCAACCCTCACACCAAATCCACACTCTTCAAATCAGCTCCCTTAAAACAATTTTGATGAGAGAGGGAAAAAAAAAAAAGTTGCAGAACAAATCATATTGAAATCCAAGCAGTAGTGGGGAGAAGATACTATCTCTGTCCATTTACACGCACTGCCATAACATCATCTTAACCAAGATTTTATTTTCTACTTTCTTGCAAGTTCCCAGGGCTCTTGGGGGTGTCTATGTGTGTTTTAAGGACCCGTCAATTCACTCCTACCCAAAGTCCTATGGCAGCATGTTTGAAAACAACGAGACATATAACACAGGTAACTTGAAATCCCATTGGGAAAGACCCAGCCACCCTGAGCATGTCTCTGAGGAGCCTCCCAGCACACAGCCAGCAGCCGGCAGGACAGGAAGCCCCACCAAAGGCCCACTGACCTTTTGATGACTTGTGACTTCGTCTCTGCTCCGCCCTAGCTCCTCAGCAAGTTTGACGTTCTCTTCCTGCAACGCTGAGAGCTGCTGGGACTTCTGTGCTGCCGCCTGCTTTAGGGTTTCTCTGCAAGGACAGTGAGTGCAGGGTTACCATAGAAACAAGACAGGCAAAGAAACTGGGGGAGACAACCAGCTTCAAGCACTGAGGAAAATAGATCTGGGTCACGTGCTTGATAGGCTCGATAATAACAGACTGAGGATGAGCTCAGAGCCCTGGTGGCCAGTGGTTCAAGTGCTCAGCTGCTAACTCCAAAGGTGGGCAGTTCAAACCTGCCAGCTGCTCTGTGGGAAAGACGTTCCATCAGCTGCCTTGGAAGCCCTGTGGGGCAGTTCTACTCTGTCCCATAGGGTCGCTGGCAGTGGGAACGGACTTGACAGCAGTGGGTTTGGATGTGGACGATGACCCACAGGCAGGAACTAAACAGCTGCAATCTCTCAAAAGGAGGCCTCCACCCACAATTCTTAGATTTTTTTTAACCTAATAAACATACACCCACCCTCCCAGCACCCACACGTAGTCCCCTTACAAAAAGGAATTTCACCACAAAAGACATGACAAATGAATGGTCAGCACAACCCTCCCGACTTCAAGGAAACTGCAGAGATAATGACTCTAGTGTGTGGACAGTGATTGCACTCGCCGCCAAGGCACTCAGTCTCACCGCACAGATCTGTGATCTGTTTTTTTATGACAAAAATAAAAATCCAATGGTTCCACTTGCCAGTCTCTGTCAGAGTCAAGTGGTGACATGAATCTGAGCCTATTTTTAGGGCACCTAGAGGTGAAATGCCCACAGGAAATGCAGTTTTCTAATTATATAACAGGCGCTTCATTTTTATTGTATTGTCTCCCATGCTAATTTGTAGTTAAAGAAGCAAACAAGACTGTTAGAACCTGTTAACAGATTTGAGGAATGTCAGCATGCAAAACAGGCACAGAGAAGGTATATTTATTAAGCATCGGTGCAGTATTAAAATTAGTCCAAAATACACAGCCTGCAGTACCTTCCCTCACATGGATTTTATGTGGTCACTGGATTTCAGTTTTATGCCACAGATGGTCTTGATGCGATCATGCCTTTTCATTGACTCTGTGGTGCAGGGAGCTGCCGTGCATGGCCTGGTCGGTCCTGAGTCAAGTCATCTTTACAGTGGGTCTGTGGTAGCCACACCACTCCTGCACAACTGGGTTGGTCCTGAATAAAGTCACCCAGGTGTGACCACTGGCTGAGGAGTGGACACATCCACAGTTAACTTCAACTGTCTAATGGGTGGCAGTGTCTGGACTCTTTAGCTGTACTGATTTATTTAATTGTCCATCAACCAAAAATATATATACTGGAGATGACCTCATAAAGATTTAGAGGACTAGATCTAAATCTAAATTCTCCTCATATTAAATTAGGCTATTTACAGAAATGTGTATTTAAGCCAAGGAAGAAAAACTGAGAGGGAATTTTACCCTCAGGTAATCAGTCACTCAAAAGCTGGGTAGGCCAGATTTTAATTATGGGGCACGCGCATACACACACACAAGCACAAGCCCAGTCACAGCTACAGTTCACCTTCTGACCTAAGGCCATGGACCCCTGATCAATCAGATGTTATTTATGACACACCTTCTGTTCTCAGACAAATGTTTCACTTCCCAGGTGGTCACTGCCCTTCACTGGGGGCTATCTGGTCTCAGTCTTGGTGGCTGGACAAAATGACAATTCTGTACTCTCAGTCATTCTCTCTTAAGTTTTTGTCTATTAAAATTTTGTATATCTTTGGTTTCTATTAAAGGAAATTAAAATAAGATGCCAACGAAAAATCACATTGTCACAATAAAAACGTAAAGAAAAAAGGAAAGAAAAATCATGTTGAAAAGTATGATGTTAGGTACTCTTGAATTGGCTCTGACTCATAGCAACCCAATGTACAACAGAATGAAATACTGCATGGTCAAGCACCAGCCTCACAATCCTGACTACACATGAGCCAACCTCTGCAGCCACTGTGTCAGTCTATCCCACTAAGGCCCTTCCCCTTTTTCACTGACCCTCCACTTTACCAAACATGGTATCCTGCTCCAAGGAATGGTCCCTTCTGACAACATGACCAAAGTAGGTGAGACAAAGTGTGGCCACTCTTGCTTCCAAGAAGTATTCTGGCTGTACTTCTTCCAGGACAGACTTGTACATTCTTCTGGCAGTCCATGGTACTTTCACTATTCTTCACCAACACCACAACTCAAAAGCATCAACTCTTCGGTCTTCCTTATTCATTGTCCAGCTTTCACATGCATACGAGGCTACTGAAAATACCATGGCTTGGATTGGGCACACCTTAGTCTTCAAAGTGACATCTTTACTCTTCAACACATTAAAGAGGTTTTTTGCATATTCACCCAGTGCAATATGACATCTGATTTCTTGACTGCTGTTTCCAGGGGTGTTGACTGTGGACCCAAGTGATATGAAATCTTTGACAACTTCCATCTTTTCTCCATTTATCATGATGCTGCTTATCGGTCTAGTTGTGAGGATTTTTGTTTTCTTTATGCTAGGGTGTAATCCACCCTGCAGACTGTAGTCTTTTATCTTCATCAGTAAGTGCCTCAAGTTATCTTCACTTTCAGCAAGGAAGGTTGTGTTGTCTGTGTATCGCAGGCTGTTAATGAGTCTTCCTCTAATCCTGACGCCACATTCTTTTTAATAGTCTAGCTTCTCGGATTATCTGGTCGGCACACAGATTGAATAAGTATGGTGAAAGGATACAACCACGACACACACCTTTCCTGATTTTAAACCATGCAGCATCCCCTTGTTCTGTTTTAATGATAGCCCCCTGGTCTACGTACAGGTTCCTCATGAGCACAATTAAGTGTTCTGGAATTCTTATTCTTCTCAATATTATCCATAATTTGTTATGATCCACACAATCGAATGCCTTTGCATAGTCAACAAACACAAGTAAACATCTTTCTGGTATCTGCTTTCAGCCAAGATCCAGCTAAAATCAGCAATGATATCCCTTGTTTTACATCCTCTTCTGAATCCAGCCCACATTTCTGAAGTTCCCTTTCAATACACTGCTGCAACCATTTTTGAATTGTCTTCAGCAAAATTTCACCTGTGTGTGATATTAATGGTACTGTTTGATAATTTTCACACTCTGTGGGATCACCTTTCTTTGGAATGGGTACAAATACAGATCTCTTCCAGTCAGTGGGCCAGGTAGCTGTCTTCGAAATCTCTTGGCATAGCCAAGTACGACTGCCTCCAACACGGCACCCATTGTTGCAGGCACTGTGTCAATTCATTCTGTTGAGAGTCTTCCCCTTTTTCACTGATGCTCTACCAACCATGATGCCCTCCAGGAAGTGGTCCCTCCTGATAACACGTCCAAAGTTATCAGTCATATAGGCTGAGGATCGCATGGTGTATAGTCGCTTGGACTAAGTGTTTCCATGCATCTTTGTTTTTCTTGATTCTTCCTTGCTCTGGATGAGGAGAGACCCATGGATGCATCTAGATGTGGGTCAAAAGCTTTTGCTCTCAATCCTTTGTTTCCACAGGCATGAAATTAACATTTTATTATTTACATTGATTTCCAAACATTCTATTTGTCAATCCATCCTAAGTCCATTAATTTGTTATTGTTCTTGTTGTTGCTGTTAGGTGCCATCAAGTGCGTTCTGACTCATAGTGACATTACGTGCAACAGAACAAAATATTGCCTGATCCTGCTATTCTCACAATCTCTGCTATGTTTGTGCCCATTGTTGCAGGCACTGTGTCAATGCATTTTGTTGAGGGTCTTCCCCTTTTTCACTGACGCTCTACCAACCATGACGCCCTCCAGGAACTGGTCCCTCCTGATAACACGTCCAAAGTACGTGAGACAAAGTCTTGCCATCCTCACTTCTAAAGAGCATTCTGGCTGTACATCTTTTAAGACAGATTTGTTTGTTCTTCTGGCAGTCCACCGTGCATTCAATATTCTTTGCCAACACCATAATTCAAAGGAATTAATTCTTCTTCAGTCTTCCTTATCTACTGTCTAGCTTTTGCATGCATATGAGGTGACTGAAAATACCATGGGTCAGTCTATTAATTACCATGCTTGATTGAAAATACCATGGGTCAGTCTATTAATTACTATGCTAAATATGTAATTATGGAATAAGTCAAAGAAGGGGATACAAAAAGAATTTATCTTTTAATATACGTGAAACCAATCCCACGCTAATTGAAGTGCACAATTAGCTCCAGATAGATTTAGTGAGAGAACTCTGAACAGTAAGGTGTGACCCACTTAAACAGCAGACTGATATAATGACCACTGGCACATAACAACAACAACAAGCAAAAGACTTGTAAGCTGTCAGGGGCTGGAGAGAAAGGGCACGGGGAATTACTGCTAATGGGCACAAAACTTCCGTCTGGGGTGACGAAAAAGTTTTGGAAATTAGATAGTGAAGGTTGAACAACATGGTGAATGTAATTAATGCCAGTGAATTGTACATTTAAAAATGGCAAAATGGATGTTAGCTATGTTTTACCACAATAAAACACTTTTTTTTTTTTAAAGACTTCTAAGTAGTACTGCTATAAAGAGGAATTTTATCTCCTTCCCAAGAGCTCTCTTGCCTAGTGTCACTGTGGCCCTGCCCCATCCATTAGCTAGTGTGGCCCTGAGAGCTCAGTGGGACTATGACAGCGGGAAGCTGGTGAGGAATCGTCTCAGGTCCTACTCAGCTCCCGCCCCCTAGCTGCCTGTGTGACACAAATGAACTCCAGAAGGCTCTGAGTGACCATGACTACCCAGGTCCTAGGGGAAATTCCTAACCTGTAAGCGCACTGCCCTCTCTGAATATAACTCAATGGGTACTCAATTGGTTTTGCCATCATACTGACCCATTATCTATTCGTGATATTTGGCTTTGGTAGGCAAAGAGCTTTAAGCATCTCCTGACCATCATCATCACAACTGTATAAATCTGTGTGAATGGGATTGCTGGAATTTGTTTAAGCCTAATTCAAACCCGGGAGCTCTGGTAGCATAGTGGCTAAGACACTTGCCTGCTAACCAGACGGCTGGCGGTTCAAACCCACCAGCCACTCCTCGGAAGGAAGGTTGGGCAATCCTACTTCCGTAGTGATACTGCCTCGGAAACCTAAGGAGGGGTCGCTATGAGTCGGGGCCGACTCGACGGCACATAACAACAACAACAACAACAATTCAAACCCACCAGCCACTCCTCGGAAGGAAGGTTGGGCAATCCTACTTCCGTAGTGATACTGCCTCGGAAACCCAAGGAGGGGTCGCTATGAGTCGGGGCCGACTTGACGGCACATAACAACAACAACAACAATCTAAACCCATTGTCACAGAGATCATTCCAACTCACAGCAACCCTACTGAACAGACTAAAACTGCCTCGTAGAATTCCCAAAGTTACAATCTTCACAGAAGCAGACTGCTACTTCTTTCTCAAATTGCCACATCTTTCTCCCATAGAGCTTTTCACAGGCAGCTGAGTGCTTTAAAGACTGTGCCATCAGGGGTCCTTAACCCTTTCAAGACTGAATTATTTTGTTCTCAATTGTGTGTTGCAACTGTGTTTTCAGTAATAGAAGGTATTTTGAATGAAATGAAAAATATTTCTTTTTTTAGGTAATAAGAATTTTCATATAATTTGTTGTTGTTGTTGTTATTTGCCATCAAGTTGACCGCTCCCTGGGTTTCTGAGGCAGTATCACTACGGAAGTAGGAATGCCCAACCTTCCTTCTGAGGAGTGGCTGGTGGGTTTGAACCGCCAGCCTTCTGGTTAG